TTCTGCTACAAAAAGATTACTTTAAAGAAGCTAGGTTGATACATGAAGTTAATATACATGTGTGCTGGTTAATAAGAACAAACTTAAAACAAGTATGGCCAACTGGCAGCCCATGGATAACCTGAAGGCAGGCTAAAGCAGCAGACATTATGAGCTGAGTAGACAAGCTGACGCCTTTTCTACAGAGCCCACGAGAGGGTGAACCACCAGCTCAGTCTGATCAACTTTGGTTTGGGTACCGGCTGCAAGCTTAGAAAATGAGGTGCATATTCAGATGTAATTAGATGCAATCCTCCTTGCCAGCTTCCTCAGAGGCATCTGGTTAGCCACTGTGAGAACAGGGGGCTGGCCCTTTGACCTGATCCAATGGGGTTTTTATTAGATGGAGGTTTCCTTCGGTTTTCCACTACAGTTTCTTGCATTGCTGAATGGGCAGGGAAAATTTTAAACTGAGGAGAGCCTTGCCTATTCAGCACGTGCATGCAGATGCAAGAAAAACTTCAGAGGCACTTCTGGCTGTGTGCATGGGTCATAATCAGACCCAGCTCTCTGGTAGGAATGCCTCAAGGCTGTAATATGGATCTCAATGACTTGAGATGCATGCCTCCAGTTCATGATGATCTTTATGAGCGGAGGCTCTTCTCTGGCCTGTTAACCCACTCCTCATTCACATTTGGACCCACCCCAGGCCCAGGCTGCCCATGAGGTGGGCTCAGACGGTGGAAGAAGAAGAAGAGTTTGGATTTGATATCCCACTTTATCACTACCCTAAGGAGTCTCAAAGCGGCTAACAATCTGCTTTCCCTTCCTCCCCCACAACAAACACTCTGTGAGGTGAGTGAGGCTGAGAGACTTCAGAGAAGTGTGACTAGCCCAAGGTCACCCAGCAGCTGCATGTGGAGGAGCGGGGAAGCGAACCCGGTTCACCAGATTACGAGTCCACTGTTCTTAACCACTACACCACGCTGGCTGCAAGGGGCAGAGCCTCCAGAGAAGCAAGGAGAAGCAGTGGACCATTCTGGGCTCTGGTGGGATCTTGCAAGAGCCCTGCAAAATTTTGCCAGAAAACGGAACCACTGCTGCAGTTGTGAGGCTTTGTGGGAGTGGGGGCGGTGAAGGTGTCACTTACCTGTTTTGCCACAGGCGCGACAAAACAGGACAGTCCACCCCTGACTCGCCCACAACATGCACCCCCCCACCAACAGTGCTTGTTTCTGTGGTGGCAGCAGTGTAGGCAAGTAGACCCCTCCCTTGTTCCCTGATGGGAGAGTTAGGAGTTGCCACTATAGCAGCAACTCAGAAGGCAGTGGCCTATGAAATGTCCCCAGGGTACCTAACCCCTAAGTCTCTGCTACTGCAGCAGCAACAACCCATGTAACAGGAATGGAAGGAAGGATCTGCCTACCTGCCTTCTCTGCCATGGCAACCTCACCTGAAGCCTGGTAAGAGGGAGACACCACAACAGCCACAATAGCCACAGCAGCAAGGCAGAGAAACTGGAGGGGGTTGTGGGAGGGCTCTGGATCCTGATGTGCTTGCATAGCATCTCAAAATAACCAAGTTTCCCTTCTAACTTTTAAGGAAACTAGCTCAGCTAGCTGAGCCCAATTTTGAACACAGCCCAAGGGATTTCACCTATTACTATTTTATAGGATTGCTGGCAAAAATAGTTGCTGGAATCTTAAGACTCCTCTCATACATAACACCGAAAAGCACATTTTAGCCTTACACCTTGTGGGATGGGATGTGTATGTGAAAAGAATGTTCTGTTTAACATTTACATTGTGGGGTGGATTTAATTACAACTGGATTTCAACCTCAATATGTGTGGAAATATACTTTGACATGCAGGACTTTGACTGAGATAGGGCATTAGAGAAATGACTTGGTGTCATTAGCAGGTGGGGAAGGGAGCTCAGAAAACAGACTTCAAAATGAAAGTGTTCCCACATCAAACTCTTTCCCCAGTGTGCAACACTTGGATGTCAGGGAAAAGGCTTGCCTAGAATCTTCCCCCTTAAGTGTTGTAATTTGAAAAGCCTGGGACAGTTGATGCAGAGCCAGCCCAATGCATTTTGACACCTGAGGCAAACCACTAAATGGCACTCCCCTCCCCACCAGGAAGAAGGGGTGAGGAAAGAACTGCAATAGGAACGGCGGGGGGGGGGGAGGATAAAGATCTACTTCAGGAAATGCTGTCCCTATGGATCCTGCTACCCGAGGCAGTTGTCTCACCTTGCCTCATGGGTGGGCTGGCCCTGAGTTGATGTCAGTGAAGTGAGAGATCACCAAAATGCATTATTTGACATGACCCAGTCCTGCAGAAGCTGTTTCACAATATTCACATCTATCATGAATATTCACATTCAACAGTTAAAAAGTGCTCATCTTGGATGCAGAAAATACCCCAAATCCTATAGCCAAATCAATCAAGTTGTATCACCAGCAGCATGCAAGTGCGCCCAGACCAGGCATTTTATTTAAACTAGAAACGTGTATTGGTCTTAAATTAGTGGGTGGAGCAAAGTCAAAGAATCATGGGGAATTGAAATTTGCTGAGCATGCTGATTATTTTGTTAGAGACCTCTGAGCCATGAGAGAGAAAGAAAGAAAGAAAGAAAGAAAGAAAGAAAGAAAGAAAGAGCTACTAGGGATATGAGCCAAAACACTGAAAAGCACATTATAATAATTAATAATATTAAATGCAAATTCTTTGGAAAGGGGCTTAAATTCTTTTCCTTTTCTTTTTTTAAATATAATTTTTATTAACAGGCCAATCAAATCTCATTAATTCCAAATCACATTAATTCCAAATTATACAGCCAGATTTTTAAATTTTTGTTGGGGGTACATCAAGCTCCGAAAGGGGACCAAACATCACTCATGTTGCTGCTTTAATTAAACAGTTCTATCCAGTTCTGTCCAGATAGTACCTCATCTTCTTGTTGTTATCATCATCATATATTCCTTTCTTTGCGATCTCTGATAATTTTCACAAGCGGGTTGAAGACAAACATCCTCTGTGTGGGGTTTACACTCTCCAAAAATCATATCACATAAGGACAGACGCCATTCCACACCTCCGTAAAGAACTTTCCCTCAGTCTGTCCGTTGATTTCCCCAGGCTTGCCAAACATATCTCAGAGGGCTCTGCCAGGTTAGATCACATTCCGAAAATCCTTCGCTTTCCGATGATCCTGGTCCTCCTCCCCCCGTCCTTCTTTGGCAAGCCTGTCTTAGCGAGACGCCATTTGAAAATGCGTCATAAAACTTTCCTCCGTTCTCCGATGTTTACCAATCCTCTCTTTGAACAATAATTCACTCCACACAGTTCTTAAATTCCTGCTTATGATTAATAAATTGCAATGATTCTTCTCTCTGGGGTGGAGCGTTATTAATACTCACATAAGGTAAAAAAGAAAGAAAAGTTTTTTCCTCCACCCCCTTTCCGTTTCACTCCAAACATACCAGTCTTTTAATGGTGGTTTATCACTTGATTTATTTGTCCCGCCCGTCGCTCCGCTCACAGAGATCCATTAATCAGCAGTCTTAACTCCCGATCTTCGCTTGATGTATGTGCTTTAGCTTCTTTCCAATTATATATTTCCAATTATATATTTCGAGCCAAAGCGAAACAGTGCGCTAATTGGAGACAGCGTCAGGAAGAGCCGACTTCACACGAGGGCTTGTGCCAAGTGTCCGCATCCCCTTCTTTCGAATCTGGGGGTGAATTATGGACACCGCTGGCAAGGCAGTCCCCCCCATCCCCTTGGGGGGGGGGGCAGGAAGGCTGCATACTTCCCATAGCAGCCTTTTATTTACCTCGTGTGGGTCGGAGAGATGTTATTGTCGGCCATCTTCCAATGCGCCCTCTGGTGGCCCCCCGGGGCTTAAATTCTTTTTCATTGAGTGTTTGTGCATCCTCACAGAAACAGTTCTCCAAAATCCCTGTGGAGAGAGGGTTCTACCAGTACAAATATAACCAGAAAATAAGAGTCATTCTAGCAGGCCAAGTACAAAATTTACACTCATTCCAAAATAGGGTTGAGAAGATCCCATCCCTCACAAGACATACGACAATGCACACTATATGAAAATATCAATACTTGGAGTGAAATTCATTGACAGCACATTCCACATAAATACTTACTATGTATGGGATAGAAGTCTGGTGTGCAAAGCAGCATTGGTGTCAGGAGCTGGACTCAAGAATAGGTCAGCAATCAAAGCAAAACACGGGGTCAGTACAGTTAACTCTTTATTCAGGAAACCAAAACAGCACAGGCATAATGACTCCATCAGTTCTTCCTACTAGGCCTTGCTCCAACAAGGCATTTGTGAGGACTGAAGGCCCCCACCTTCTCACCACTTCCTAAGGCTCCTCCTCTCCAGGTTCTTTCCCAAGCAATTGCAGACTTCACTTGTGCAAATCCCCCCTCTGCTGTGCCCTCTTCATTTTTCTGCATGTTCTAGGAGAGGGAGACTCCCTGACTTCTTCAGCAGGCTGCTCCTCTGTCTCCTGGCCCCACTCCTCTCCAGCCCCTGCTTCTGCCTTGGAGTCTGAACTGCTCTCTGCCACAGTTTCTTCCTGCTCACCAAACCCTGTTACCTCTTCTGCTTCCGACACCTCCTCCTCCTCCTCCTCCTCCCAGTCTGCTCCTTTATCTCCCTCTGACCACTCATCACCATTCCACCAACAACCCCCTGGCTCTTCTTCCCCTGGGGGTTCTCCAGCTGCTGCCTCCCACCGCTCCTCTGCATTCAGCTGGTCCATGACAATTTGCGAGTTGGAGAATGGAGAATACGGTAAGGTCTTGGACCATCCCCTTATTATACTGGGGAGCCCCCCAATATTGTTGAAATGCAAAGATTCTCACAAAAAAATTATTTTCTTTTTCTTTAGTTATTATTCCTTCTAATAACTAAAGAAAAAGAAAATATTTTTTGTGAGAATTAAATAATTAATAATTAATTAGTTAATTAATTAATTAATCAATCCATAGTTGGGTTGTTGATGATGATGATGGTTGAGTTACTTGTACATCTCTTAAGCGATGTACAAGTAACTCAACCATCATCGTCATCATCATCATCAACAGCAACAACCCAACCAGTTAAAACTATGGAATCTGAGGGAGAAAGTCAATGCCGTGCTGAGGCGAACATTCTGTCAGCATCAGAGCAAGTATTTCAGTTTGCCAGGTGGAATTATCCCCCTTCTCCTCCAGGGTGTGCTTTTCTGTGGGTTCTCTGTTGCCCTTTTGGCCAATTTTGGGGGGCACGTGGGGAAAGAGAGGGGCAAATGTCCAGTGGCACAAGCCCAAGTCCTTGCCCAGGGCTTCCTTAGTTTAATCCCACCCAGAATTTCCCTTTCACCTGCACTGCACTTGCAAAATGTTCTTACCATAGGTATCCTGCCTTGCCTAACTGTGTTGTCCCTAGGTCATAGGAGAATCACAGAATCATATATAAAATCATAGACTTGTAGAGTTGGAAGGGACCCCGAGGATCATCTAGTCCAACCCCTGCAATGCAGGAATATGCAGCTGTCCCATACATGGATCGAACCTGCAACCTTGGCGTCATCAGCACCATGCTCTAACCAGCTCGATACGTCCTCAAGATTAAAAAAGAAAGAACCCCATTTGTGGGGACAAGCAAACTCCACACTGAACCAATTCTCTTACGGCCAAATAAATGGTGAGTTTTCCCCACCCCTCCTGGACATCTGCAGAAGGCTTTTTGGGTTGCTGCTTCACCTCCGCTCCCCATGCGAGGCCAGGTGCAAAGCGCCTGCCCTGCCTGCCCACCATTCAGGAGCAGGGCTATGGAGTGCCATAAGGGATAAAGATTATCTCCAGACTCTGGTGATCCATCAGATGAAAGGAAATGGCATTTAGATTAGGCAGATAGCAGGCACACTCATTTCCCTTGCTTTCTCTAGCCTTTTTTCATATTTCTCCTGCTGGCTTATTCTGCTTTATGGGATTTCAAGAAGAAAGACAGGAACTATAGTCAAACATAGATACCAGCTGAGTATCCATTTAGCGGGTTTTATTTTATCTCCTTTGCATAAACCTAAACCTGATCCCCATTGATTTTTGTGGGGGGTGGGGTGGGAGAGACAGATGTGTGGGATCCTTCTCTGTGGCATTTGAAGTGCTGTGGGGTTCCGGCCATCATTCAATGCACTGCTGAGCAAGCGCCAGGTATTAGGTATGGAGGCATCTGCCACACAATAGATTTTCTATATTTCCAGAGGGCATGGGCATTGATGGTTCTCAATCCTTCTCATCTTCTCTTTTCTATTAAAAGTTGCTTTCAAAGTATTTGGATTGTCCTTTGGGATACTCTGACTGCAGTCCAGATGAAGACAGCAGTGGCTCAGCCGCGTATGACTGACACTCTATATTCCTCTGAACAAATCATTCACTCCCATATAAGTCTGAGAGGGTAATTTTTCTTCTTTTCCCTTCCCTTCGCCTCTGCACGTTTGATACATAAAAATCTCCGTTGTTTATATTCATTGCCCAGATGAAATATTTTTGCACTTTTGTCCATGTAAACACAGAATTAGTCTCCTGCAAGTTTAGGTGGTGGCAGTTCCAGAACAGTTATATTTTTGCAGATAACAGGATTAGCTTGGATGTGGGTAATAAGTTGGTGAATCTCCCCCTGGCCATTTCTCAACACTGTGAGAGCACTAATCCTTTATGCTTTGATGTCTTCTAGTTTTCCATCAGGTGCAGCTCAGCACATTTGTCCCGGGGCAGTCAGCGCTCTTATAAGATCTCGTAGTGTCCTCATTAGCTGCGCCTATTTACCCAGCCAGCCTGTTGAACCCAATTTATAGTTTATGTGATTAATTCCCAAAGTACAGTAAACCCTAGCTTTGAGGCTCTGCATTATAAGGCTGCATCGCACATAAAGGCAAGTGCCGGCTAGCGCTCTTTTGTTATATGGCTGCACCATATATTAAAACTGTAATAATTTTGCTCCCAACTACACATTGAACATCATTATATATACCTCCTTTCAAACATATAGCCCATAAAAAGTGTTACACAGTGGATCATAAAGAAGGCATTCAGCTCTTTCTTGGGTTTTGTTTTTGTTTTTTTTTGTTTTTTGTATAGGTTCACTTCTTAAGCATCATACAGTGGTACCTCGGGTTAAGAACTTAATTCGTTCTGGAGTTCTGTTATTAACCTGAAACTGTTCTTAACCTGAGGTACCACTTTAGCTAATGGGGCCTCCCGCTGCTGCCGCATGATTTCTGTTCTCATCCTGAAGCAAAGTTCTTAATCCAAGGTACTATTTCTGGGTTAGCAGAGTCTGTAACCTGAAGCGTCTGTAACCTGAAGTGTCTGTAACCCGAGGTACCACTGTATTACATTTATTAGTATTGTTAAGCAAGCTTAACAAACCCCATAATTTACTGCTTTTTACTTATGCAGGGTTACAAAGGCTCAGCAATCAAAACTGCAATCCATATTCTCTGGCATTTCCCCCCCTAAAAATGCAAGTTTAGTAGACAGCAAGGTGTGCATTGTGAATGTTTATGCAGTCACTGAAGGCAGCAGACGGCATCTGTCAGCCTCCTGTGCGTGGTGGGCAATTTGCATATAAAATAAGTTTTACTAATACTACTGTGATGTTATTACTGGGATGGGATATTATACTACCCTTAGTACTGGGGTGACTCTAGTACTAACACTTGTAACAACTTGTGACTGTTGGAGTCCCCCGGATCTTCAGTTGCACAAGAGCTCCTTGTGAGAGTCTGAGGAAGTCACAAAGAGCAGGCCTGCCATTCCCACCTTCACCCACAAGAGCAGTTCATCGGAAGATGATAGGCCACTATGTTTCTCTCAGAGAATAGGCAAAAATGCAGAAAACATTGTCGGTAGTTATCTGTTTTTAACTTTTGTTTTTATACTGAAGGCATTTGTTGAACCCAAACTATTTCATGGGGTGGGGACTATGATTCTGTCTGTGTTCTTCGTACAAGCAGCCGAAGGGCCTTTTACCTGCCCCCCTTCTCTCTCTGCCTCTCCCCCAATTAGTTCCTTGCATGGCACTTTGTAGCCCCACAGAAGAAGGAAAAATTACTGACAGAGCATCCCAACCAGCATAAATCACATGTAGTTTGGGGGCGAGGAGGGTTAGGTTCCAGGGCCTGGACGGGGTTCAGTTGCCTTCTCATGTTTGCACTCAGAAGTGCGGTGGTTCGTCATAGGATGAAACCAGAAGAAGGTGCAAATTAGAGCAGAACACATTGGAATCTAAGCTTGCAGTATAAGCAAGCAAACGATTGGAAGCTGCCCTAAGGCCATGTTTAAATTGCTCAGGTAAGAAACCAAAATGATGACTTATTGGCCACATGCCCTAGCAATTTCATCCTGACCGTATTATCTTTCAATTGCAGCGTTGTATTTTATTGTGCTCACTGGCTGACTCCATATCCAATAGCCCAGACCCTCGTGGAAGCATTACAGTCAGTATAAAAAGAAAAGAAAAGAAACACAAATAATACCAAATCGTGTGGCTTGCGCACACACTACAGTCATCACATGGAAGCAGATTTAAAATTGCTCTCGCACGGAAGTTATCACCACTTGGCAAGATCTTCTTGGGCTCATCACACAGCCTCGGCAATTTCCTCCGTGGCACCACAAAGCCGTATAAACAAAACAACCAGACTGGCATGCAGGAAGTCACCCAAGCCAGAGGGTGAGCTACTCTGCGTTGTTCCTGCCTCTTTATATGGTAATAGCTACCAGGAAGACCCATTACTGAGGATTCCCTTCCAGACTGGCATGCATTTGTGACCATTGGTAAATGGTGCATCATATGCAGTGAGGGGCAATATGAAATACCACTCCAGAGAGAGTATCCCAGACCCTGATCTTTTTCATGGAATAGTCACTTCCATTAAGAGCAGTAAGATGACAGTCAGCAATACCATAAATTTAAGGCACTCACAAACCCTTGGAAAATAAGGGGTTCAACAGCTGAAGCAGGAATTACATGAAGGTTTCGATTTCTTAGTTCTGTTTTCTATATGAATTGGGAAGGGAAAAAGCGTCAATCTTTGTGCAGAGTTATACAGTGGTACCTTGGGTTACAGATGCTTCAGGTTACAGACGCTTCAGGTTACAGGCTGTGGTAACCAAGAAATAGTACCTCGGGTTAAGAACTTTGCTTCAGGATGAGAACAGAAATAGTGCAACGACGGGAGGCCCCATTAGTTAAAGTGGTGCTTCAGGTTAAGAACAGTTTCAGGTTAAGAACGGACCTCTGGAACGAATTAAGTACATAACCAGAGGTACCACTATACATTTAAAGCCCGCCCCCTGCCCAAAGAATCCTAGGAACTGATGTTTGTTAATGGTGCTGGTTACTGTAGCTCTGGGAGAGGTAAGCTACCTATGGTTCTTTGGAGGCAATGTGTTTTCAGTCTATGGTGTGTACACAGTACATTCTAAACTCTTATCTTTGCAATTTGCACTCCCCCCACCACCATATACTATGAAAACCTGGAATAGATTCCAATGGAATGAAATTAAAATAGATATTTTGCCCATAAGCGTTTCTGTCATGTTACCACCCCCACAAAACGTGTGTGTGTGTGTGTGTGTGTGTGTGTGTGTATTCCCATGCCATTTAGCCTTTAAGAATCAAATTCATCCAGGCTATGTAACATACATCATTTGTTTGTTAGTATTTTAAAGCCCCCACATCTGCATTCAGTGCAAAAAGATCTTTTTCCCCCCATGGCTGCAAATGGCAGTTTGTTGCCTGGGTTTTGACACATTGGCTTGTGCATTATGCATCGTGGCTCTGCATTTCCCTCCCCGATTCTACAATTTTAATGGCATATTTCAGTTTAAGGATCTACTGTGCTGTGAGCCAGGGACTCCTTTTGAATATCTTAGGCACACATTCTGCATTCTAATCCATGTTTTCAGGCATCATTCAAAACCATCCCCGTCAGCAGTCTGACAATTTCTTTGTATCCACAACATTGGAGGAAATGGATTCTGCCCCATGCTGATTCCTTTCATAAAATCAGAACATTTCCTCCATAAC